ACTTAAAATTATAAACTTTAAAATTAATTTATTCTGTTTGTCTCGTTTTTGTTCTATTATCTTAATTTTTGAATTTTGCGATTTGATTGGCTAGCTATAATGTGACAATACATGAACAGTTGTGTAACATTGAACGGTTCCTCCTGTTGATTTTTCGTCAGACAATTAATATACGCTCTCGAATTTTCTCACAAATTCAATTTTGCAATGTCAGACCTTGTTCCGTACATAATATGGGAAAAGGTACGAGTGGAAGAAAACACTTATTGTATTTTTGGGTATTCTCGCTAAATGATTTATCTTTGAAAAAAAAGCAAGAAGGTTATCTGTGTGCTCAGCATTGCATTAATTCCCTTCTTCAAGGTAATTATTTGTGTTATTTAATGATTTCCGACAAATTTTCTGATTTATACGTTCGACAGGAGAGTACTTTACAGCAGTTGACTTGGGCGAAATCGCTAAAAATTTGGATCAGGCTGAAGAAGCTGCTCTACGAGATGGAGTCGAACAAACACCAACTGAATTAAGTGAAAGTGCGTCAATATCAAAAAGTCAAAACATGGACGATTCTGGTATGTTTATATTTAAAAGAGCACAACGACTTTGTTTCACGACTTCATTTTTTAAAATATTAATTCTTTATCGAAGGATTCTTTTCGGTGCAAGTATGTATTAGTACAATATCAAGAATAGTATTTTTATTTTATTAATATTAAAATCACAATTCCAAAAGTCGTATCATAATATAGTTAGACTTTTCTAATTTTCGGCAAAAATATATTATCTTTTTTTTATGCCATCGTAGGTATTAAGTCATGCATTGAAAGTGTGGAACCTTGGTAAATTAAAAGTGTTGAGTCAATTTATACTGGTCTCAATTTATATACTAATAAAAAATAATAACGTATAGAGCTCGTGCCAGTTGGTTCGGAAGAAAGCCGTGCTTCAAAGAAGATTCCAGAGTACCTTAAAAATTATTAGCCTTATTTGCTTACTAATTTATTATATTGTTAGAGCTTATAATACTTTTCCGTTATTTAATTTAGAGAAGAAGACGCTTACATATGCAATCTTCGCGAACACTGGTAAAAACTTGATATCCCTTTTTCTCTATTACCGGTAATCGTCACCATAAATATGGAGGCAGCCAGTAAATTAAAAAATCCATTAGAAAGCCATATATTAAATACTTTGCTTCTATATACGGTTCCAATATGTCTAATATTGCCATTGTGTAATTAAATTAAGGTTTACTCTTCGGAGATTCGGCGGTATGAAATCAAGATGGTATAATTTGGATTCCATATTAAATGGTCCTGAGTGGATTAGTCAGTTATACTTAGGGATGTTACTCAAACAATTGGAAACTGATGGTAAGAAACCCATTACCTAAATTATTTAACTACTGCTTTATTGTCGGGTGAAGGAATATTAGTGGTCTGACGAACTCAATTATCTTTTGATTGACTATTGAACGTTGAAATTATCAAGGTTACAGTATTTTTGTGATAAAAGGTATACTTCCAACAAGCCAAGCTGATGAATATGCTATATCACACCCAGATCCTATCATGTATTCTTCAGAGAACCATATTTCTTACGATAGTGATTTAGATGCGGCAATTGCAGCAAGCCTTAAAAGCGTCTCCAATCAGGATGTTAAATCAGAAAGTTCAGCTAATTGTGAACTATCTATTGACGATTTACGGGCGAAAAGACTAGCAAAATTCGAGAATAAGAATGTTTAGCAAATTATAAAAAATCTAAATTCTGTACAAGTCATCACTGACTTCTTATCCATATAGTTCTGTAGTTGTCAATTTAGTTGATCCTATTTGAAGAATTGACATTTATATTAATAACAAGCGATAACTTTCGAAATTATAAATTAATATTCATATTGACTATAAATCAGCGACTTAAATAACCGAGATCATTTTTTATATTTGTTCACTCTTGCATGTTTTTCCATCATTTCAATTGTCAAAAAAAAAAAAAAAAAAAAAAATTTTATTCTACCTTTTTAGTCCAAGCGTCTTGAACCAATTCACTTCCTTTACAAAAGCAGATAACGTATAACGGTTTTTTTTTTTTAAAAAAAAATATTTTTTTTGGTTATACAGTAAAATCAGGGGGTCGGCTAAAGCGGAGTTAATTTCAATATATGATCTACATATTGCATGAATCGTATTCTTGATATTTATATATAAATAATAACCTAAATGCATCAAAAAAGTAACTCTAACCCTAACTCTTCCCATACAGTATATTGAAGCATAGCGGACATTCGATTTGATTGGTTAATAAATGTAAACAATATACATATTGTCACATGATTATTAGCCAACCA